GCGCCCGCCAACCCCTACCAGGGATACTCGCTCACCAACGTCGACATGTCCAGCTTCCAGGGCGTCGACTGGGGTTCCATGTATGGAATGGGCATGTACGTTTAAATGCCGTTGCTTCGGTCGCCTTTCACCCAACGTCGGCTCTGCGATCGGAAATCTTGCGCCGACCGAGTCTCCGCTGACTCTTTCTCGCGACGCGGGTGTCTTCGTTCCTTCGGACGATTCTCGGTTTCTTTTCCTCTTCCTCGCCGATTCTATACTTATCTAGCTGCCACTTTGAAAAATGTTTCGCGTTTGAGTCAGCGCGAAAACATTCGCCATCGTCTTCCCGTTAAATGGATAAAAATGTCTGCTGTCCTTTGTGTAATCGGTTACCGGTTCTACATTTCTTTTTGCTTTTGTCACGTATTTGCATTACGTGTTAAATATACTGAGAATTTATACGTTGAGAAGGATGAGTCGTGAAAAGCGGTGCGAGAAAAAGAAACGAGAAGAGAGCGGATACGGACATAAACTCGAAAGCGTCGCAGAGTCCGAGGTGGTGTCCTCGACCAGGGCATGAGGATTTCCCAGCCCGAAAACCGAAATTATTCTTCTTGCGTTTACTACTCGTCGTTATCGCTTGCCGATTAATTTATTAGCGAGAGAGTGTGAAAGGCAGCGAGGACGAGAGGCAGAACAATTGTATGTATGTGTGCATATGTAAAAGAGAAACAAGTCGCGCGTAATTCGATCGCATCGTATATTTTGTTGCGGTAACCTTGCATCCTTCGTTCGCGAATTTTCGTATATATTTTTCTTTTCCTTTCCTATTTCCTTCATTTTCAATTTCTTTGAATTCGTCCATCGTAATTGTTTCACGCGTTCCACGATATTCTCGCCACACATTCGGTTCCTAGTTAGATTAGCACGGTCCCTGGCAGAATACGCGCGACGTTGTTCAACCGCGCTTGCTCGTATGCTAATTAATTACTTAATTATTTAAACGATATCGGCGGTCGTTTCGCGACCGTTCCATTCTCAAGGATCTCGACCACGAAGCAATAAAACAGGGGAGGTAGAATGAAAAACAGAGAGAAAGAGGACAAAACATTTGGATGTGTTACACCGTGAACGAACGACCTCGCGAGCCCGATTACTCACTGGATTCGTTCGCTTTGCTTTTCTTTTCGACGTTTCTTTCGTCGACTCCATTCTATATCCTATTTTGTCGATTTACAAAAAAATCGCGGGGCGACGTTGTTGGCAAACCCGAACGAAAGCACGTGGAAAAGGGACGCTCCACGTTGTAAAGAGCGACACGATCGCGGTCCGCGACACCCCTTTCTTCCGCTCCAGAGAACGAGGCAGTTCTCCTGTTTGTCGCGCGACATACTCCTCCGCCTCGGTCAAAGTGCCAAACGAAGCATATGTGGAAACGTTCTAGCTGTTCGTCTGTCTATTTCTCTCTTCGGCCATCCGTTTGTCAGCTTTCGTCGCGATCTCGGCTAACTTTTCTCTTCCCCTTTTTCCTCTTTTTTCCTCTTGTTTTGTCTCCGTTTTAGTTACTGCGCGCTTTCGTTCGGTGAACGACTGTTCGCGCGTTCGGTCACACGGTCGCAAACGCGCACGGTCAACCACGCGTACACGTAGAGAGAAAAAGCAGGCGTGCGAAACAGGCGTTACACGGGACGCGTTTAAATAAGATAGCGCATAGGTATACATATATTTTTCTTCGAGTAACGGAAGACAATATTTCTCCATCGCGCGAGTAGCACGAGCAGTCCGCGATTCAACCGCGATATACAGAGAAAGGGAAGGAGAAAAGAGAAAAGAAAACACATTTCTGAGGGATACTCGTTTCTAGGTGTACTAGAGTCGCGAGCAACGCGGCCAAGATAACAGGAACCCAAGATTGAGATTAGCTCAGCGTTAATTAAGCGATCCTAGTTGTAAGTTTCAAGCAGATTAAGACTAGAATTTTAAGGAGTTCGAAACAAAACGAGTCGATACTTAATTTATACCTATCCGTAGGCGTCACGCTGTTCTCGTTTTCGCGACCAGGGATCGATCGAGGCGACTGCATCCGCGGCTCGATCTTTCGCCGCTTTCGATCGACTCGCGCCTTTCCATCGGTGTATTCGTCTCGCGTCTCTTCGTCATCGATCCTTCGCTCTTCGACCAACTCTTTTTCGCTCGTGAAAATTTATTTCTTTTCCCTTTCACCTCATTCTCCCTTTGCTCTTCCGCCTTTCTTTCCTTTTTCTATCCACGCTATCACGAACGACCATTTTCCTCGACAATTGATAGAACATGATTTTTGTCACATTTATAGGAATATGTAGTAAACTGAGATAGTTGATTTTTCTCGAACCTCTAAATAATGGTAGAGATACGTCAATGCTTAATTCTCACGTGGCATCATCCGGTTGCCGTAGTGTTAAGAATATTGCGTCGAGTGGATATCGTCGATGCAGGAGCGCGAAGGATCGACCGAGCGGACAAAAGAACAGACGAGTTTCCGCAAGACTTAAATTAACGATCGCAATCTGCGATTCTTCTATTTATTTATGATACCGTTCTAATTCGCGAACGATTGGGCGGAAGATGGTCGAACGAAACGGTCCCGCGCATGCAGGCGCCGCGATTTGCCGCTAGCAAACGACGAGAGAGAGAGAGTGGTCGTCGGCGAGAGGAACGCGATGCCGCGAAACAAATGTGAGAAACTTCGAGCAATAAGCGATCTACTGAAACTGTAAGCTGTGTATTATTTAAGTTTAACGAGATACGATAAGCGTGACGACACGAATCGAGTGAGAAAAAGAAAAAAAGAAAAAAAAAAGGAAGACGATAATCTGTACGCGTAAAGAGATATTTAAAGGAAAGAGATTCGCCGCTCCGGCGAACAGAGAAAAAGAAAAAAAAGAAAGAAAACGACGCGGCGAAAACGTGTTATAGCGGAGCGGGAGAAGTTCGAAGAAAGAATCCTCTTTCAAACGACAAGTAATATTCTTTAGTGATATATACTTTAAACATATACTTAATATGTACCGTAATATTAACGACGACAAAGCTCGCGAGTGATATTTATGACTTATAAGATGGTACTTAGATGAATAAGAAACAAAAAAAAAAATTTGAAAGAGAGAGTGGGAGAGTGAGCACGCGTGAGAGTGTGAGGAAGTAAAAGAGTTAGCGAATGTATGGAAGAGAGAGAGTGAGATAACGAAGCACGCCTTAATACGAGAAATCGCGGAAACAGGTACGCGTGCACGCGTGCGCGTAATCTAGCGAAAAAAAGCAAGCAAGAGGCGATGATTTGACTAGAGACCACGGTGCAACCGAATTCTATTTTCCACGGTCTGCGTACTTCGAGATGGTACGCAGTTTCGAGATAGAACATGGGTGCGTACTTAAAACTGACCTCGAAGACAACCCGATATCGGTGTACCCTATACCCCTGCAGCTTCCACTTTTCCTTTTCTTCTTACCATGCACCTTCTTCGTTCCATCGCGTCCCGCTTATTTGTTTCTTTCTTTGTTTCTAAAAAAAAATTGCTCCTCTTTCTATTTTGTCCTTTCCCTCTTTCCCTTTCAGGGAAATTGATCGTATATTCCGAAATGTCGGTCGAAAGGAAGGAAGAGAGCGCTTCCACGGTCTCGCGTGAAATACGTCAATCGTTTGACGCGAGAACGGAAGGACGCGTTCCGACGAGGAAGAAACGCGGGGGCACTCGATCCGACCGATCGATTTCCTCGTCGACGGAACAGAACCTTCTCGTCATTTGCAATCGACAAGAAAACATCATCGACGACGATTAACCTGTTCCTCCTCTACGAACGTTTTCCTTCTTTTCTTTTTACCTGAAAACCTTCCGAAAAGAAATCCCTTCTCATACATATGCCGGTGATTATGTATTTTATACGCTACACGCACATGCTCATACATAAAACACACGTACACACGTTAATGTACTTATTGCGAATGTCGAGAGTAATTCTTAGCGTAGTTAGTATTTTAATGATCGCTAACCATCCATTAGTTGAGAATGATCAGTAGGTGAAGCATGCTGGTTGAAATATCTTAGATCCGAATCCCGTTGTTCCTTCACCGCCCTCGTCGTTTCATTGTATTATACGTGTTTTAAGAATAGTATAACTCGCTGCTCTGCTTCCTTGCAGACGTTTCATCGCGACCGTGTCTCATCGGAACGATCATTCGATCGATCTTTCCTTTTCCCTTTTCTCTTGTTTATCTTTGAAATTATTTCTATTTTTTTTTTTAATATTTTCTCGATGAATGTTTGTACGCGTACGCGGTACGTTTTACTTTTTCTTCCTTTAATTACAATGTTATCAATTTGAATGTACATTCGCACAAAATATTATCGATCGAATGTCTGCCACGTCAGCCATGCTCTGATACTTCAAATATTCGATCGTTTCTATTTTTCTTTTCTTTTCCTGGTATATGTATCTTGTATATGGCTGGCATACCCTTTACACGGAAATTAAAATGCCCACCTTCCAAAACCCATCACTTTTAATCGTTTAAAACTTTCAATTATCCGATATAATTCCTCCGATACTCAAATTTTCAAATGACGAACGAAATACTTGATCGTTTATCGACGGAGCAGCAGTGAGTAGAGGATTAAAAGAACTTTTTCAGAGAATCCGAGTCTCTTAACGGAGATCCATCGTTTCTGTAATAATACCGCAACTTTTTCTTAAACTCCCCTACCGCTGCTGCTGTTCTTTCACGCCAAAGCAGCGTTCCTCGAAAAATAAAAGGGAGGGAAAGAGCCTTGGGATAAATACCGTTTTTTCCTCGGCCAAACGACCAAGGCGGACAACGGAGCGAGAAAGAGGGATCGGATGAAAAGAGACGAAGACAAAAAGAAATAATTCACCCTCGCCGAGGCACGTATCAGACGTGTCTCTCGACTCGATTAGACGAGTCCACCCACACCCTACACAATTCTCCGTTTATGGCTATCCGATATTCCGTATACCTCGTTCTATCCTTATTACTATTTACTGTCATTATCGCTCTATTATTACTATTAATATTGTCATCATCATCGTTACTACTACTACTATTATCACCACACTTTATCATTATTATTATCGGTTATCATCGTTGATTATTTTTACCGCCGGTATCGTCACCCCTGCAAGTACGACTGCGATCATGGTTGCTGTTGCGTATCGTTGTTATAGTCATCGATCGTTGTTTTTCTATTTTTCTGCTTTCCATCGTAATCTTAATTACCGATGAATCGCGAGTTTCCAACGTATTTTAAGGGAAACTCGAAAGAATTGGAAATACATTGGTAATCGCGATGAGAAGACGGACGAGCGTATTTAAACGAACGCTCGAGAAATCTCATTGTCGATCTTCGTCTTCTTTCTTTCCCTCTTCAGTTTTACCTTTTGTGTTCGTACTTTTTCTTTCCATTGTCATTCTTAGTTCTTTTTCTTTTTCCTTCTTCCAATCATTACTATAGTTGTTATCTTAATTTGGTTTCGCTACTTTGTTGTGCCATAAACGCGGATCCGTTGAACGAGCGATGCCCGTGATAGAAAAGGGACGATAAAAACGCGCGGTACGATACATGGACGATTCCGAACCGCGGAAGGATCGAGACACGGCACGATACACAGCAAGAGTACGCAGGGCGGCGAACGCGAAGAACGACGGATAATTAGTTTAGTTCCATGCCTAGATGAGTTGCCAATAAAGTAGTTCGTTTCAAACTTGTAGCTAACCTGTATTGTGTGTACGACAACCTTTTTTTCCCCTCTTCGTTGTTCCTCCTTCTTTCGTAATAGAAACCCCTTTTACGATCGTATTTGTACATCGCGGCTAACTATATCGTTTCTCTTACTTTCGCCAGAAGTAACTGTTTTTTTTTTATTTTCCTTGTTTTTTCATGTTGTGTAATACTTGACTCACTGACTCACGTATGTATTGTTTCTGTCTCTTCTATAACTCACTTAAACTTCGAATTAGCGTACCTGTCAGTATTTACCGCCATCCATGATGGCTCTCTCTCTCATCAATTTCTTTTTTGTATTTTTCCCCCTTTCTTCTTTTATTTTTTTAGTAGAAGATTCATAGATTTCTTTCCTTTTTTCTTTTATTTTTTTTTTTTATTCGCCGTTCGGTCGGTGGCGTCGAAGGCTGGCGCAACCGTCGGTGCCGGAGGCACAGTACCGCGGGCGCATCGCTAATTGGCTAATTAATATTAAGCCGTAATTAGCCTCGTTAACCCCGGTAGGCATTCGTTTCGCGCCGCTCTCTGGTTGGTCGGAACACGAGCGTTGCGTGCCCTTTGCATTCGCCGCGTTTGTTCGCAACTCCGATTCACCTTGTACCGCGCATCCAACCCTCTACCCTCGGCTACTCCTATTTCTCGGGTGCTCGCGAATCGCCGCGACCTCGCTTGGACATTTTGCGAAACGTCACAAAAACGTGACCGACACGCGTGAAAATCGCGACAAAATACCTTGCACGATATCCCCGAAAAATCCCAACGAACGAATAATTTCCGTTTGTATGGAAACGAATCGTCACTTGAAAGATTCGCTTTCGCGGAAAGAGTGAAATAAAAAGAACGAGCAGTTTCCGTTGAACCGAAGAGCGGCGTGCCCTCCTCCGGTATACGTCACGCGTACGCATTACGCATTACGCGTAGACGAATAGAATTTTGAAAGTTACTTTCCTTTTTCTGTCGCTCCATGTTGCTTCTTAAGCGGTTTAAGATAGCCAGCGGATGTGTTGTAGCGCATGCATCTTAGTTAGACCACTCCTGGCGCACTCTAACCAACAAGTAAGAGTAAAGTTTAATAAATTCGATATGTACACAGTTTTTTTTTGTCAAATCTCCAGCGGGCCCATCTCGCCCCAGACGATTCCTCGGCGGTTCTCGCGGCGAAGGGATCGCCCGCACTACTCGTTTCTCCATTCGATCCCGTTTTACCTCCCGTGATTTCTCATTGCCAACGAGAACGCGGAGGAGCGGCTTAACCGCGCGTCAACCCCTTTTAACCCTTTGCACTTGGTAGAGGGATCTTCTCGATCGAGTCTCCACACAAAACTGCGTTGATCTCTAGCTACGGATATCGAGGAGTGAGTTTTGTCGATCATTCTGTCGAACAAGTGGGCCGTGCGCAAAGGGTTAATCGCGAGCAAATTGGTTTCGTTTCGTCGCCGATTTCGGAAAAAGTGACCGTCTTCCAATCCTGTCCCTTTCGATTCGTACGCTCGAGCGAAGTCTGTAATCCACGAATCACTGACGGTTACGCTTGTACGATTTAACGAAGCTCGATATGTCAAGGTCGATAGAAGCGGAAAAGGAAGAGGAACTCGCGAACGACATCGGGAGCATCGATGGTGGACTGAAAGTTCGCCCGAGCGTACGAATACACCTGGTACCCGGAGCACGGAGAAAGAACCTCTTCCGATTTTGATCGTTTCACACGGATGAACGAACGCGAGTTCGGACGGGTCTGCCCGAAAAAATTCTCCGCGGTAAGACGCGCGAAAATCTTGCCTTCGAAGCTGTCTTAGATGAAAAGATCCCCGATCCTTTTCGAGGCTGGGATCGGTGTGTACATATCGTCGTCGAGTATTAGTTTAATACGAACCTTTAGAGCGTAGTTCGTTTTATACCTATACGCCGCGCTGTGATTCCTCACGTGTGATACCCCTCGAGCAAGAGGGCGAGAGGAGGGCGAAGAAATAGGGAGTGTCGAGCAGCGGAAAGCCAAAATATCGCGAGTTCGTCGTCGTACTTAACGGACCAATTTGGTAGACGTTTGAACGTATTCCTCGAGAGTCGAGCGTTCCGTATATCCGAGCGCTCGCTACCAGTTTTTCAGCTGCGTCGGCCACACAGCTTAAATACATATCGACTCGCGCAACATATCATTTTACAATTTATCAACTAATTCGATTCTGCTGTATCTTCCCGCGAGTATCGATCCTCGATCATGGATCTTCGACGTGCCGCCGGGACCAGTTGTTCGTGGATCCGCGTCTTCGACTTAGAACGTCTATGAAAAAGAAAAAAAAAGAAAGAGGAAAAAGAGGAGAGAAAGAAGTAAAAGAAAACGAATAGAACTGGCGCAGTTCTCGCGCAACAGATTGCACTTTCTCCGTGCAATCGGCTACCGCTTCCCCTCGTTTCACAAGATTATCGATTCAACAGAGACCCGAGTGCCTTAATCCGATCTCTATCTTGAGCCCCCTCACCGATCGTTCCCCCTCCGTGAAATTCGAACGACAAAGAAATGAACGCGAGATTAAGAAAGAAAATACAGAACGATAGAAACGGAAAACAAAAAAGAAAAGAGAAACATATGTTGCACAAAAAAAGAGAGTCGAAGAGAAGAGAAGCAGGAACGATTTAGACGCATATTAATTCCCATAGGCAGTAGAATTGAGTGTCGATCGATAGAGAGAACGCGAGAAACTGAGACGCTTCCACTGATTCAGATCCACGATTTGGCGACTACGACGGCTGAGAATCAGGTAAGACTACTTTTCTTCATCCCCTTTTTACCTTTACTATTTTTCATGTATATATGTATACAGACTGATTCGGGAATCATAGTACGCTGAGAAAAACAAAGAAACGACAATATACGCTTCTCTTTCCAAAGGAAAACTACTTTCCATATATTATGTAGATATATAATATATATATAATATATACATATATATTCCATATATATTCATTTCTCGTTCTTCGAACGGAAGGACAGCAAACTACTCTCGGTTGTACCAAGATTTTCGACTCAGCCAGCGCAGATGGACGCATATGGACGCATTACACGTATTATTACAAATTTGCATTATTTGACCTTATCTTAAAAGTAGATATTTCGCATAGCGAGTGTAGACGTTGCGAGGTTTAGAGGCGTATTAGTTGCGCGCATTATTTATTGTCGATAACGAATCTCCCTGTGGCTTGTGATGAGCCCAGGAACGATACCACCTTCTACCCATACGCATTGTAATATATGATAAATGTTTGTAGTTACTAGTAGAGTTGAATATCGTCGGTAACGTAGAAGTAGATAAGATATGCACAATTGAAACGTTTCCTTTTGTAACTGATTCCAGAGCCTCGTTACCGCGAACGGTTGACTTCCGTTTCAAAACATAATAATTAGGCCCTTCTTTTCTCTCTCTCTCTCTCTCTCTCTCTCTCTCTCTCTCTATTTAGACCTTATTTAGACTGGATATATATATATATATATATATATATATATCAATATCCAGTATACATATATATATATATATATATATATATATATATATATATATATATATATATATATATATATATATATATATATATATATATATATATATATATATATATATATATATATATATATATATATATATATATATATATATATATATATATATATATATATATATATATATATATATATATATATATATATATATATATATATATATATATATATATATATATATATATATATATATATATATATATATATATATATATATATATATATATATATATATATATATATATATATATATATATATATATATATATATATATATATATATATATATATATATATATATATATATATATATATATATATATATATATATATATATATATATATATATATATATATATATATATATTCAATATCCAGTATACATATATATATATATATATATATATATATATACATATATATATCAATATCCAGTTCGTATGATCGAAAAGATTCAACCGTATCCCAGTAACGATGGTTCTAGGTATCATATGGTCGAGGAATTTTCCACGCGGCAACGTATCCGCAATCTTGCCAGTCGGATTTGAGCAGAGAGTTCGATGACCAGCGTCTTTTCAAAGTTTTCTTGTTAACGAAACTCGCGAAGCATCAACGCGACCTCACTTCACGTTAACACCTTCGCAACCGTTCTCGGAACTTTTTTCTTAAAACCGTTTTTCGTATCGAAAATCAATCGTCTCCCGGTGAAAAATTTCTCGCGTTTACGATCGATCCCATTCGTTACCGCGTGGACAATTCAATGACAAGAAAGTACCAGTGTCAGAGCTATTCGTCGATGGCCAGTATCGAGGTTTACAGTAACGGTGTGTGTCGTGCATGTGTAACGACTTGTACATAACTAACATGTGTCTGAACGATTATCTCGTATTCACGCATGATTTTCACTGGATACTTGCTACTAACGCTTGAACCTTCGGAAAAAGAAAAGGAAAAAAAAAGAAAAAGAAGAAAAACACGTCAGTCAATTGAACGTCTCCGAGAATTCGGTAGTGAAATGCTTGGTGATACGAGACAGTCGTGCCGGATCGAGGCAAAGCGCGAGGCCTTACCCAAAGTCACATGCGTGACTCGAGAAAGCAAAGAAACAGAGGAACAAGTATACGTAACTTTGCAATCGTTGATCTCGCTAAAATGATTCACCACTACTGCCACCATTACCATCCACTACCAAAAAACCATCGCTGCTACCATCGTTGTTTCCATCGATCGGAAAGCGAGAGAGAATGTGTGATAGGAAAGAAAGAGAGCGAGCGAGTGAGAAAGAAATTATCCGAAGATCAAAGTTGAAATGAATCGCTTTTATGACGGTGTGGTGCACTCGAATGTCGGCTTTTACGGTCAAGCTTTCCATCGTGTTTAGCGGCAATCGAGATTCATAAATACACTTTTCTTGCGTCAAAATTCTCATCGTAACCTATCGCGTTTGGAGAGCTTGCCGCGTGTAAAAAGGGACGCTCGAAACGAAGAAAGTCCAGCCAATCTAACTGGTGAAAAAATGCAAAATTGGTGAACGAAAGAAAGGAAAAACGCGAGGTCGTGCATCGTGGCTGGCCTTTTCTTCGTTTTTCAAGGCACTCTTTCAAAATGGGACCCACGCGTTTTACGTAGCGCTTCTTTCAGGCCGACGAATTTGTTCGGCGTCTTGTTCTTCCAGTACATATATACATATAAATATACATATATATATTATACATACATTCATACATACACATATGCATACACGAATAAATTAACAAACAAATAAATTCTATATATATATGTATATGTATGTAAAAATATGCGTATATGTTAACGGATGTGTATAGGTAACCAAGAAAAAAACAAAAAAAGAAAAATCGGCGATCGAGCCGACTCTCGACATAACTCTCGACACGAGGAGATCCTCCAATCGATATCGAGGGACAACGAACTATCGATCGTCGCAACGTCGTTTAGTAACAAAATTTTCTCGTCATTCGATAGAAATCGTACCGAGCGATTATCGAGAATCCGATGGATACGAACTTCAGTGCTAATTTACCTTACTTCCCCTGAGTTTTCCACCTACATCACGTTTACTCTCCAGATCGACCGACTACGGCCTGTGTCTGTAAATAATTAATCCTGAATCGGTCGTCAAAGCGGTCGATCGATCATCGATCGCCAAAGAAGCATAGTTTGTGACGCGGGAGACGCCCAACGTTCAATCCCACGGAAATTTTAATACAAGTTTTTCAGGCATCTACCTCACTTCTATCTTCCGCTGCGTCGTATCGCAGCAATCATTTCTAAACGCATAACGTCTCCTTTTCCACCTTTGCTACTCTTCCACGTTAACGCGATCGTCGCACAAACTATTCTTCTATCACGGGGCCCGCCAATGGGATCGTGTTTTTCTTGTCCAGCCGATGCGCAAGCTCGATTTTTGAGTGACGATCTTAAAAGGACGAGACTCTTAGAATCCGAGGAACGATCGTCGATCCCACGGCGGTCGCGATCGGCGTTACGTTTTGTACATACGTACAGAGTTTTGATAAACGATATCGATAGAAAGTTTTTAGGAGGAGAGTTTAGGTTTCGACTGGAGAAGAAAACGGACGGGCCTTGATGATTATCGCGTGTGTCATTCGTTTCAAGGTTCGTTCGTTTCCCTCGGCTAGTGCTGTTGTTACCTAAAGTTTTGCCACCTGTACTTTATTAACGCTCGGTATTGATAAGTCGAATACGATATCCCATATTTTTTTATTTAACCTGATCGAAATATATCCCGACTGTTGGTAAAGAAAGAGAAGGAAGAAAGAGGGAGAGAGAGAGAGAGAAGGAACGGGGGAAAAGCGTCGAGGAAAAGGAAATGCCAATTAGTTCGGTCGAGCTCCCAATCGTTCGATACGCGTATTTATCAGATTCTCGTACTCCCCCTTCGTTCACCGCGGCACACAGATTGTTTCAATTTTCTTGCTCCCTCAACAACGCGTACATCGACAGAGGTAAGCTGAAATCAGCTAAAAGACTCAGAGATGAGCTTTCAATGGTATATGCAACCGGCTTGAATTTACGCGATCGCATTTCAGCCCGTACGATCAAGCTTTGTGTACGTTTTGCGAGTACATTTCATACGAATCGTTTTCACGAGATGCTCTGACCCGTCGAGTTAACCTGTGTATTGTAAAAACGACGAAAAGTCGGAGAGCACGTCCCACTCGAATCGACGACCTGAGGTAGCAAGCGGTATATGCGAACCGAAACTCAAAGACGAAAATAGAGTTAGGAAAAATAGCGAAGAGAACGACGAAAGGATCTCGATCTCGCCGATTCGAGCGGTCGCTCGAGCGTTCGTTCGTTCAACGATACGTGACAATTATGGGACGAGGACACTTTGCAGTCTCGAGGGTGTTGAAAAAGTACAAACCGGGATAAACGTTAAACCGGGTCGACTAGTTACGACAGACCGGGAAGGACGGAGTCCCGTTTACGCGAGCCCTTGTCGATCGAGATCTACAACCAAGTGAAAAGAGACGTTCTTCCAGGACATTTATCCCGGCCGACCAGGCTCCCCGAACACGGGACTTTTTCCTCCCATTTAGCATGTAGCCACGCGTGTAGCGACATATCTCGCGTGACAGTTACAGGTGATTTTAATATCGATATTATGGTTAGTCATACACAAGTATTACCACCACCATCATCACCATCACACGTCGTCGTCTTCTTCGCCATCATCATCATCATCATCATCATCATCGTCGTCGTCGTCATCGTCGTCGTCATCACCATACGTCAAGTAGCATTGAATATATTCTTTCGTCGAACGTGCCATTAGTTTATAATCGTTGCTATTAGCATTCTTATTTTCATTGACGTCACATTAGTGTTATTTGGCCGCGTAAGTTGCGCACCGAACGCTTCTATTCCTTTCAATTGACTCGAGAGTTAAGTAATTTACTGTTCGCAGCAAAGATTGCTATCGTATACAATTGGAATTGATGTTTCTTCTGTACTTCCCGTGTTCCGAGGACGAAGCTTCGACACAGCGTAAGCAGCATTCACCTCGTAAGCAGCATTCCCGCGGGCAACGATCTTACTGACTTTCCAATAACGACCTCCGTATTCGTTAGCTTCCCAAGCTGTTTCGTTCGTCGTTAGGGCGCTTGCTCACTTGTCCTTACGCGACTACCGTGACTTTCGATGCGACAACCGTGTATGATTTTTACAGAGAAATCGCCAGGATCGTATAGAACACGCGATAGATCTCTCACTGTAGAAACGATCGCGTACGATAGGATGAATGGCGCGTTTATTGGAAAGATCATGAAATCGTAGCCAGTAGATCAACCCAACTCCACAACGCAATTAGTATAGTGTCAGCTAGCTAGACAGCCGAATAGTAAAACACAATGTGTAGTCAACTCGTGTAATTTACTTACTCGATTTAAATGGGTAAGCAACAAAAAGACAGTAATAAGTGAGGTTTAATTAAGTAGTAGTCGAACGCGAGACATAGCAACAGCGAAGTAGCGGAAAAACTCTGTGCGTGTGTGTGCGTGTGCGCGCGTATTCGCGTATGTTTATCGAATGCGAGGGAGAGGAAGATGATCGAGCGAAAGAAGAACGTGAATGAGAAAGGGATATCGAAGGAATAATTATCAACGTATTTACTGCAGGTAAACTGGTTACTGTACCTGTTGTTGTTGAAAACATTAAAAACACTCTTATTCCATGCTAATACCGCTTAATGATATTTTACCCCTTTCCATCGACTCTCCGAAATATTCGTTCGACTAGAGTGAGATCAGACCCTTGGCGCACAGACTATCGGTCAAAGTTTAATTAATCGAATCGTTTTCAATCGATGGGATGGCGAGTCAACGCGATAATACCGATTCCTTTGGTAATGACGAGACGAAACTTTCAATTTCCAACCGATCAGAAATTTGCACGCAGCAATACCAATCATCGCGCGACGAACTTTCTTAGAACCACATCGAATCGAAGTTCGAACGTTTTTGAATCCTTTGTTTCTTTAGTACGTGTACGTTATTACACTTGGCTGACGCTGCTTATTTCCAATTTTCGTAATATTCAGATTCCTTTAAGCCCGCGTTAAGTTCGTATAACGGTCAAACGAGATAACACGAAAAGACACAAGCTTGCGTAGGAACTCGATCGATCGATATCCGTCGTATTCCACGTTCCTCTACTCTGTCAAATCGTACTTCATTCGTAATACATAAATATGCTATTATCCGGTAACGTAAATGAAGCGTCACGATTATTACGCAGTTATTGGTATCTCGATGCATCACGCGCCCGCGTGTGTACATATTATATATATATACACGTACTATAAATATTAGTATCTCTTTGTAGTAGTTAATTGGCCCCTTATTTGCGCCGCTGGCCGTATTTTCATACGTTATTGTTCCTGAAATCCAACGCCATACCCTGTCTCTTTCGAGTCTTTTTTTTTACCGTTTCGAAAGAAAAGGAGGAAAAAGAACAAAGAAAAGAATATTTCCACTTGTTGAATTTCCTTAATTTTTAACGTGACGAACGGCCAGTAGCGCACATTCGTAGGAATTATGGTTTCTTCCCGTTCCTTGGTCGAAGTTCTTCCGAACGATACGATCGCAACCTGAACCGTAATTAAACAGAGCATGAGAACTGCGTGTAAATTGACTTTCGATTCGTATAGGGGTAAACAGTAGTATAATCAAATAAATAGATATAATGACCGCTGGTAATGAAACAGTATCTAGTGAAAGAACGGATGATACTCTGGAACGGTTGTTTCCGATTCGAGCAACGTGGGAATTTTAAGCAACTGAAGGTGAGTGACAATAAAGGGGGATTATTTTTACACGGATTTTAATGGCAGTGAATTTTATCCCCCTGGTATCATTTTGTGTAAAATAGAGTTAGCGAGAGAAAAAAAACGTTTATTCGCCGGACGTGCCGAATTCGAAAATATCTCTGTGTTGCGAAATATCATTTCGACTCAACTGGAAAGGCTAAGTACAGTCTGTATCGACGAGTGTGTGATATAACCTTAACAATCATTATTGTTTGAATGAAAGCGTAGGATGATGTGGTTCTATAAATATTTGTCTTACCCTCCTTGTTTCTGTGTCGACGTTTCTTAAATATAAACGAGTAGTTTGTTACTTTGTTCAATTATAGAGGAAACTAGGTTTTACTTGGACCGACGACAGGAAGAGTTTTTTTTACGTGGCTTGTTTGATGATTGGTGCAAGAGTAGTGAGACTTTTATTGTAAAAAAGCAAACACTCAACTTAGAGTAATCGTCTATTTTATTCGATCATCGAACGAACGAACAGGGAGACCCCGTTTACCAATTACATAGCATACTCATCATTGATTAAATAAAATCGAACCAATGTCCCGTAAATGTTTCATCGTAACCGGATAGGTGCACGTCGCTGATCGAATAAAACTCGACGCGTTCGATTCTTTGTTATCGATTAGAAGAATTTTTCTTATCTGTATATTGGCCCGGTTTAGAAAAGATCTTGAGAGACAACACGCGTGTGCATGGAGCCATCGTCGAAATCCAAATGAAAATTCAAAGTTCCTTTCTTTCTCGAACGTGCCTAAGAAAAATGATATTTCGTAATAATAATCTATCTGTAATCACGAAAATCGCTCCATGAACATACGAAAGATGAAAAACGTACTCGTTTTAATTTCCACGATAAACCCTTGAACGATCAATTTTCTTGCAGCATCGTAGAAAAGTAGCACCCTTTAATACTTGAAACAATTTACACACTTTTAGACATAGTTGCAGCTGACGTAATGGATAATGTTTAGAATCTAGGTAGAGAAACTAGGTATTTTCGTCGAAAATCTGGACGATGGTAAACCCGTAGGATTAAAGAGAAAAAAGAGAAAGAGAGAGAAACGCCGCAAAGGCGTTCGATCCCGTTTCTGCAACGAATTTCCAAGAACGAGCGTATCGCGTGGCGTTCACCAACGAAAACACGAGTTAGCATGCGATATGCTAATGGAAGCTGAGTGGATCTTCCTTGTGGATTTTTCGCGACCAAAGAAACGCGTGTACATTGAATCTTACCCGTGAAGAAAGGTCGAATGCTTGCTCGCTGCTTCGACGAGCAAGATCGAACTCGATGATGCGCTCAATTTCCCTCGATAGCCCAAAGTACAGCAACGACGCGGGTTAATTCGAACGAGGGCTGGCCTAATTCGATTAGTAAAAAAGATTTTGTTCCGCCGATGGTACAAAGTTGACGAGGAGCGAACCATTTCGAACTATAATTGGAGGAAAAAGAAAGAAAGCGAATAATTCTACGAAAGAATGAGATCTATTCCATGCGAGTATCCACCGCTTTGATATTGCATTTACGACAGTCTACAATGATTCCGGGGCGAGAGCGAGTGCACGCGTTAATGCGTATAAGGCGTTGAACAAAATTTTCTATCGATAACCGTTCGGCGAATACGACGAATTAATATGCAACGCTCTCGTCCCGAACAAACCAGACATTCCAAAACGATACTCGTTCATGTATTATATGTGATAACGAAACCGCGTTGATGAATTTTGTAATTGTAATACGTTGTCGGGCTGACGGCTCGCAATTCTCCTAGCAACGAACGAATCGACATTTTGCAGGCGAAGAGAAACGGAAGGTGAAAGCGACGCGCGAGGATACACAGGGAAAATAAAGGGCCTCTATCTAAATTGGCTTTTCGTGCCACGAAAACGGAAGATTCAGGGAAAGAGATACTATCCTACGAATATATTCGATCGAAAGAACGATGCGGCGGTCTCTTTTTCATACGAGAATCTTGTGATCCACCTTTCTCGACTAAACGTCGCAAGACTTATTTTGTTACGATGTTGTAGCATTAGCGAGTCATCGAATTACCTCAAGGTACGTTCAAAGATACAGTGTAAAGGAATCGATGCGGAATAAGCGTGAAAGAATCGTCGATGATTGAAGATTGTACCGAGCGATGCGTACAACTCGCGACCGTTTGTATCGTTATCCAATATCGTTCTGTTTGACAGAGGCACGACTGTAGAAACTCTAGGAATATAAGCGCTTTTGTATGCCAAACGAGTACAAAATCTGTACATATCGTCACTGTATTATCATATATATATATATATATATATATATATATATATATATATATATATATATATATATATATATATATATATATATATATATATATATATATATATATATATATATATATATATATATATATATATATATATATATATATATATATATATATATATATATATATATATATATATATATATATATATATATATATATATATATATATATATATATATATATATATATATATATATATATATATATATATATATATATATATATATATATATATATATATATATATATATATATATATATATATATATATATATATATATATATATATATATATATATATATATATATATATATATATATATATATATATATATATATATATATATATATATATATATATATATATATATATATATATATATATATATATATATATATATATATGATAATACAGTGACGATATGTACAGATTTTGTACTCGTTTGGCATACAAAAGCGCTTATAGAAAAAAGAAGTCGAAAATATAGAATAAAAATTTTTCGTTTGAGACTTTGTTTTCGAGAAAATCGACTTTGAATTTTCGCTCGGTACGCGTGCACTTTATCACGTCTCTTTATAACGGATCTCACTGTAGATTTTTAAAAAAATTAAAAGAAAGAAAAGGAAAATTAAAAAAAAAATTTTATTCTATATTTCCGACTTCTTTTTTCGCGTAGAATCACCCCCTTTCCGCTCGTACCACCAGTTACCAACCACCCTGTATATATATATGTATAATATAAAAAAGAATGCTATCTATGGAAGTAGATTGCTAATGAGAAAGAATGCTAAAGGGAAACGCGATACGAAAACTTTGTGCGAACTTTACACGAAGGATGATGCTTTATGATTATTTATACATTTGTTTAATTTACGTAAGAACAACGAATAATGAGATGCATTCTCGTCGATATCGTTGGGTCGTTCGAACCAACAGATTTTCGAATCTAGTCGTTTCTAGTCACATTGGAATCTACAGAAGTTCGTAATAAATCGCGACTAGTGTAGGATTTTGAGAGTTAAGAATTAAAGAGAGGGACTGGCCGACTTCCGTAGGACGGCACGCCTTTTTGAGAAGAAGAGGAGGACGAAAAGAACGAAGAAGATGAAACAGGAAAGCGGAAGGGCAGATCAGAGTACGCGGAAGACCTGTCCATTTGCCATGGAAGGAACACACAATTGGAAACGAGCAACAGAGTGAAATAAAACGTTATCAACTATTCATTTCTGAAGCGTAGAACTTATTTGTATACTTATTATATTTATTTCCGCCACTACCATTGTTATTACATATATTGCTACATTATAATATCATCGCCATTATTATTATTATTATTACCATAATTATCGCCATTATCACTCTAATTGTATATACAATGGAATTCAACCAATGTACATCTATATGTTTAAATACTACATTCCCATCGATTAAGTACATATTAATAAGTAAGATTATATGACGATACTTTTTAAGAAAAAAAGAAAAAAAAAATAGAAATAACAAATGACACGACGAGAGGTTTCCGAGCACGTCGTTGGTTTATCGAAGGTCCAAAGGAAGCAGAGGAAACCGGGAAGAAAGGAAATCGATATTTGGACCCCCAAGAGTACGCGTTATGTACGCCCCTGTCGGCTAAATTGCGACCGCTCTGGGAAAAAGCCTGCCCGGAAATTTTTCCGTGCCCTTGTCGTTGATCCTACCTCCAGAGATATTAGGAAATATCCAGCGGTGCTTGATCGATGCACTTTCCGCGGGAAATTCATTTGTCCAATTGAAGTACCTCTCATTTTCGCCACTTTGATCATTTTTCTTTCTTTTTTTTTTTTTTTTTTTTTACCAAAATTAGCTCAACCTTCCTGCTTTAAGTGATTTACATTTCAGACTGACTTTTACCTCTTTATTACGACTTTCCGTGAGACATTTCGAGGGTAATATCAGTATCTCGTTATTTAAAAAGTTACGAGTAAAATCTTGTTTCGCTTTGCATCGAAAATGGAACACTTCGACGAATAAATTCTATCGAACTCTGTCTTTCATCTGTCAACGTTAAAATCATTCCTGGAAATAACTTGCAGCGCAACGATTAAATAATATTTCCTATCCATATTTAAACACAACGTAGAAAAGCTTTTAGCTCTTACAGGTTCTTCTAGAAATTCTATTTTTTGGAATGATTTAAAGAAAGCTAATAATCGACAGCAGCTGCACACGGAATCAGTAGTCCCGAGGCGTACCCAGCGGGAAAATGATGCCCATCGTTATTCGATAACATAAGTTCGTCTCGCGCGTTTTATATCTTCCCTTTTTATATCCTATTCCATCGATTGATATCGCAACAACACGGAACGGAGCGATATGAGAAGACAACCGGGCATATTTTCACCCTACGGATGCGAGTCGAGGGAGCAAAGGACATTTATACGCATCCCTCGTGCTACGCTTGCGATGTGCCTATCATCGATGTATCGTGTCTTCTCCCATTCCCATTCCTTTTCTCCTCTCCTTTAACCCTGCAGCCGAGTAAAAAATGGATCTATTATACGGACGAAACATGTTGTCTCGCGTCTTATTTCGCGTAATTGACACGTACCATAATCGATATCTCGCGTACGACGCTACAGAAAGTACGAATAAAGGCATAGCTAGATTAGCGAGCAGACGGAAAACGTGTAAAAGAGCCATCTCTTTGGAAAGAAACAAAAAAGAAGAAAAAGAGAGAAGAAAGACGGAGTAGCTGTTAGTTGGTAGCCTTTCCTTTTGTTCTTTGTTCTCGTTCGTCAGTTAGGGGAGGAGTAGCTGCGTCACGAAACCCGGTCACGCGACCCCTACGATCGCGTGGGTAATGATTTTTTATTTATTTATCTTCCGTCCGAAAATATGGGCAACTATCACTACCACCACGACTACCGAGGAAACTGTGTTTCGATGTCGTAACTGACTGAATTACAGCGATAAAGGTAAGTGAAATTTTTATTACGGCAACGCGCTTCCCACAACGAAACTTGCCTCTCGAAGTCGTACACTTTGAAAAGGAAACGAATATTTGCAACGAAAACTGCGTTGGCAAACGATTCATCCGCGTCGAGATAATAGTAATGATGATATCACCGATCGATCGATCGATGTCGCTATTTTTGTCCCGGTTTATCGGTACTTTAGCTAGGCATAAAATTGCATTACTTAAACGGATCAGTGGCCGTAAGTAGTCTCCGTTTGCGGAACGATATTAGCTTAAGGGGGAAGTGGAGCAATTCATAAGGGTGGTTAACCAGCCTCCTACCTCTTTCCTTGCACAGTCACTCTTCGCGATTTATTGTTCGTTTGTTGCCGGATCTAGACCATCGGTTGCAGATTCCATTTTATCGTGATTCCTGAACGATCGGACCACGTTCCACGTGAACGTTTATCTTCTTTGTCACTTTCAGACTAGAAAATAGTCTATTCACATACTTGGCTTAACAAGTAATTTCGTAACGAGTAACGAGTTGGACAAACTTCGAAGTTTGTAAGAAAACATAGCTTAATTCGAATCGTTATTCAACCTCGGGCACAAAAAGATATACAAAAAGATCGCGTGATGCGATATTTCTGCTATCGACGATGTTCCGCTAAATATAACTCGAATAAAACTGATATCCGCATTAATATCGTTTTTTTGACATTCCACGATTACGAAATTGTTTCTTCTTAACTTGGCTAGGTTGTTCGGAATTTTTCAAACATTTACAGGGGGACGTGAGACCTAGACGTGTCCCTGCTACTCCACCGAAATACACATTCGCAGTAACTTGTTTCAGACTACTGATAAATAGTTCACTCGTTCGGTAGAGTCGAGACAGGGAGCGGGTGAAGAGGAGGATAGGCAAGAGACACTCTACACGAGTACGAGCGCAAAAGACGAGTGACGGGGTAAAGAGATGTGGAGCTTAAATCTTTGATGCCCTTAGGTTGCTTGGTCGGCTGCTCTGTTCTTTCTCTTCGTTACTTTTCCTCTGTTCTAGCGCTACGTGGAACCACGTGCCAAGAAACGTTGCGAGCAACCAAACTTTTTCCGAGTCTCCAGCCGATAATTTAGAGAAAGAACGACGATGAATGTACGAGAAGAGTTGATAGGATGGCCACGAATGGAAAAAAGGGGGGAAAAGAAGTGCGCGGAATTACCTCTATGCGACGACCATCTCTGAGATACAGGCGACATCTGACCCTGCAGAAATTTTTATAGCTGGCAAGAAAAAGAGCAAAAAGGAACCAACCTCGTATCTTCGGTTTAGTGCCGCCATCGCTACCGATCTTTTAAAAATAAACAAGCTGATACACGTCGCCTCGTATCTCATGGTC